AGTCGAATAAAACTATTGATTATCAAAACATAGTTCATAACGATCAAAGTAAAATTTTTAAAAGTTAGACTCCTATCTCGGTTTGATTGAAGATTTTTGTTTTTTGTTTTTTTTGGAAATAGAGGCGATACCACGGAGTGTATTAATATAAAAGTGGAAAACTACAAGAGAAGGACAATCCAGACCTAGCCCAACAACCGGGAGGGCAAGGAAGCTTACACCCCTAAAAGAACATTACGGAATAGTTTCTCGAACTAAGATTGCGAGTAGTTTCTCGAAATAATAATTTAGAGAAATTTCTTGAAAGCGATCTAAAAGGAACAGGAAATTCCTTGTAAGCATATTATGTGGTAATCCCCGAAAGAATATTATAGTGTAGATCTCGAATAATGAGATAAACATGACTAGAAAAACGTTGCATGGAAATTCCTTATTAATATTACTTAAACGAATCTTGAACTAAGCATACATGTTACCGATAATCATCCGAATAGAAAAACCAATCTTAAGTACCTCGAAAGTGAATAGACCAAGTCTATCATTTGATATTGCTCGGCGATAATAAGTCGGCAAGGCAATAGGTGCAAATATCACTTTATTGGATTTATATTGTAGTGCCCAATCCCCTAGCCTATCTACGGCTCTATTGCCTTCTCTATGGGTGTGTTGTAGTCTTATATTTGGGCTGATATAATTTCAAAACTCTCTGCATATATAAGTTAACTACGAAGGGATAGCCTAAGATAAATTCCCCAATATAAGAGATGAATTGACCTCTAAAATTTTCGATTGGATAGAAAATTCCCTGTACAATTTAATACCTTCCAAAACTCGTTAAAGCTTCTCCTTTGTTATTCGATCCAAAACCAAAATATTTTGAGAAAACCATTACTATATTGCCATACTCATCACGTAGTATGCCTCCCTAGCTATATAGGTCACGCTGTAGAGGAGCCATCCATATTCAACTTGAGAATCTTCGAAGGAGGAGGATGCCACTTAATCCATTGACCTCTTATAGGGAGAGAAGCTTGTACTTGGAGCTCCCCAAATATTGAGACACACACTATCATTGAAAGATGTTGGAGACTTAGGCACAAACAACATGGTTAGCTCACTAATCCAACACAACACTTTGAATTTTATTTGAGCCACATTCATTCTACCATCCTTAAATATAGCTTGGTTTCTAGACAACCATATCTTCCAAATTATACAATTGAAGACAACCATACGAGTAAAGTTATTTTGTGAAAAACATCTACCTTTGTATAGCCAAGATGAAAGCATACTCTTGAAAGAATCCTGTCTTGGCTTTATATCTAGGATCCTACTAAAAAAACTCCAAAGTTGCATTGCTATTTCACCGTGAAGAAATGACTGGTTCCTTGTCTCTATTTCAACATTACTACGACGAAGTGGCATCTTGATGCCAAGGAAATCCCACAAGACCGAATATTTCCATCCATTACAATAGCATTATGCGGGACTTTCTAAACCAAGACTCCTATATTTCGGGAATCCATTTGTTTCACAAACTCCTCTACCACTCAAATTTTAAGCCAAATACGCTATGCGCCTCTTGAAATTCCTTGGTATTAAAGCTGTTAGACTTAGAATCCATATAGCATACTGCGTGCACGGTAGTCTCATCTAGGTGCAGCAGCTCCGAGTTCATTTTGGACTAAGGATGACGAGTAGGTCGAGCGATGCGGGATCCTTTTTGGCTTCAGCAATTGAAATTTCTAGGCTTGTAGTGGAGTGAAAAAGAGTGGTCATTTTTCATTTTTCTTTCCATAGTCGAATGTTTCCTGAACTCGTCACCCATATAGATCCGTCCAAAAGAGAGCTTATTTGAGATAATAAGGATCACCATACCGGTGAGCTTGTATGATAGTTAACTATTGAGAAATTAATAAGATCCCTATATTTAGCCCTTACAAAAGTACTCTATAGTAAACTGCTACAAAGATACACCCAAGCTAGTTTCCCCTTCATAGCCTTTATGACTTCTCCTAAATCTTTAACTCCCAAGCCTCTTTTTTGCATAGGAAAGGAAATTTGTCTCTAGCTCACCTAATGATGCCTATTCTCCCCTCCATTGTTCTAGAAGAAGTTCAATATAAAGCTCTACAATCTGCATATAGTAGTTTTAGGGATAGGAAGCACATCCATAGTGTATATAGGAATTGACATCAACACGCTTTGGATTAGTGTGATTTTTTGACTAATTGATAACAAGCGTCCCTTCCATCCTCGCTAGTTTGTTTCTAATTTTGCGTTCTAAATGAGAAAAATATTGGATTTTTTTCTACCTTTGAACGAAGGCATTCCTAAATATGTTAACACATCCGTAGTTAATGGGAAACCTATCTAAACGGATAAAAGCCCCTTTCTACTAGCAAGTAGCTTATTCGTCGCACAGGATACTACTCTTCTTAGCGAGTAACTTATTGTCCACTAGCATCAACATATGCCCCGAGGACCTTTAGTACCTTGTCTATCATGTTCTTAGCCCCATTAAAAAACAAGAAGCATTTCATTTGCAAATAATAGGTGAGAAATCGTAGGAGTACGTATTACGTATAGTATGGCATAATAGAGCCATTTGCAATTTATGCATTCAACTCGCCTACCGAGAGAATCTTGAGCTAAAATGAACTGGGTTGGAGACAAAGGGTCACCTTGCCTAACCCTATGGTGAGACTTGAAAAATCCATATGATTTTGAGTCAATGGATAATATGTACCAACAATTACCTAGACGTTTTTGAATCAACTTGCACCATTTGCTAAAGAAATCAAACCTCTACATAACTTTCATTAAGAAGCACCATTCCAAAAGGTCATATGCCTTGGCCGGATCTACCTCGAGGATGATATTACCTCTATGAACCCTTCGATATTAACTAAGGAAGAACTTTGCTAAGCTTGGTGGTAATCGGCCATGATAAAATTTTATATGAGAAGTTGTAAAGGCTAATAGGACGCAAGTCAATGAAGCTAGTTGGTCGTGTGATCTTGGGGATCAATGTCATACTTATGGTCGTTACACCCCTTAGGATTGTCCCTCCCCTAAACACATCCTGTGCAGTCTACAATTACATTTCGGAAACAATATCCCGAAGAACTTTTGTAGAAGGAGCCGGTGAAGCCATCGAGCCTAAGTGTACTATGGTCGTCTAGTTTAAACACAACATTCTTAACATCTTTGTTAGTGAGAGTAGCCGTCAATTCCCGATTCCGTAAGTTTGTAATCAAAGTTGGGATTACATCCGGGAAGAATTCTTCTATCGTAACGAGCTCACTTGGTAAAAACCTTTTGAAAATAATCTACGGCCTCCCGTCCAATTGTGTCATCATCACCGCATTGCGTTTCATCCTCCATAGTTTGATTGAAGATTCACTTGATTTTTAGAATCATTCAGCCAACAAATATTCTTGAAAATTTAGTTTGGTTGTTATGAAGGAGAACAAGTTTGTGTTCCCGATCGACTTTTACGTCTTGAATATAAGAGATGAATCTCCTTATAACCCCGCATCTCTCTTATTAGGAAGGCCATTCACTTGATGTTCTAGAATCATTTAGCCAACAAATATTCTTGAAAATTTAGTTTGGTTGTTAGATGAGTTAGCTCTTCACACTATTATTTAATTAAGATTTGAATTTCAAGAAGACTAAATTTATAATTTTTATGAACACAAAATCCAAATATGAATAATCCATTTAAAATTTGACAACGGATTTAAAGTGGAAGTCTTGTAAAAAAAAAAAAAAATAGTTACCATTAATATCAAAAACAAAATAAAAAATTCAATTGAAATAACTAATATTTAATGGATATGGTTAGCACCCATTCAACCCAATGTTGGCCGGTCTACATTTGAATATTGAAGAAGAATTAAAATGTTTTTTTTTGGGGGGTAATTAACATAATTTCAAACATATAGCGTTTAAAAATGAGAAAGCAATTTCTTATTATTCTTCTTTTCCTTAACACACACACATATACCTTTTGTTTTGTTTTTTTTTTTCTTTTTCCAATTTTCATTTTTCCACAAGAGAATCCTGTGATAGGAACAGAAAACTTTGACCATATAGCTACTTTAGTCAAGAGTTCAATGAAATAAAAGGTTGAAGCAACTGCAAAAGTGTTTGCTCTATCTTTAGTGCTTTTATGGAGGATTCTCTGGGTGTTGAGACATATGGAATGCCATTGCAGGAGCCAAAATGGTGGTCCAGAGATTTCCCTTTCAAAGAGGTCATGGATTCTGATGAGTGGTAGACAGACAAACTCTTTTCTTAGATATCTACTTTTGAAAGAGAAAAGGAACAGCTTTTTCCCTGCATTTCATTCAAAATTTTTATTAAGTAGAAATCAAGATTGTTATCCAAGCCACGATAACTTTCTTTAGCAGCTTCCAAGTGAGGAGACAACTTACAGATGATATATACATATATATATATATATATACATACACAAGCAATCTTTTACATATCGAAATTAATTAAATATCTTATTCTCGATTGAATTTTAGATAAATTATTGACAGAAATTACTATATTTACGAAAAAAATCTTTTATATCTTCACTTAGATTCAAATTGGAGATGATCACTTCTTTTTTGATTATCCGAAACTAACCATTCGTTAACCGTTTTTGATGGATATGAATTGATCTTAAATTGAAAAGTCTAAACTCTCCACACTCTTAAAACTAAGAAAGTAGGCCTAAACTTTGTAATGGCTATAAAGAAGTGTGAAAAGTGGGACGAACCTGAAGCTATTCAAATTCGAGATGATTACTTTCGTCCTAGAAAAAACTAAAGGATATGAGCAGCTGTCAGCAGAGAACCAACACCTGATGGTATTGATAGATTTTGTTTTTTACCTTATTGGAGACCAATTGCGTGGATTACACGCATTAACAAAGTTCTTTTCATAGTATATCAAGTTGGTTTTCTTTCTTTCTTTCCTGCTTGCCAGATATTAAGCTTTTCTCATTTCTCTTTTGGGACCATATAAGCTTTGTGTTCCATGGGATGAGGTTTAGCTATTCTCATTAATTTGGTAAGCAGTTTCTACGAAATATGCAGATAAATTAATTAGTAAAAGTTCTGACTCTTTGATCTGTCAATTCAAAGGATATTTCATTATCTATCCCAGAAATAGGAAAACATAGATCAATGAGAAAATCTAAGCATGATACTGTAATTTGCCATATTCATTCCAGAGAGCTTTCCTGGAACTAATTTTTTTTTCCCTAGCACTAAGGTAGGACCATATATATATATATATATATATACTTTTTTTTTTTTTTTGTAGTTACATTCAAAAATAAATATTTGTTTAGTTTTGTTAATTATGTGAATTCTAATTCATACAATTACAAAGGAGATAAGGAAGTAGATAAAGAGATTATGAAAGAGATCTATAGAATTGATGGATACACAAATAACAAAAAGAGGCATCCTTATCTTCCTTCTGTATTCACATTTTCCAATCCTTCCTTTTCAAATCTTTCAAATTAAATTAAAAGGATCGGACCAAATCCATTTTGATTTTTTCTTTCTTTCTCTATATTTTCTTTTTTCTTTTATCCTTCGAATTACTAAACATAAAGTTACTGTAAAGCAACACTGAGCACAAATTATGCTCGCAACCCGTATGTTCCACTATTCATCTAAGTGAGAAATAGATTATATTCTATTGTCAAGGATCAGCTACTATTACATACGGATATCCCAAAACTTAGACCTATCCATACACATATGAATCTACCATATCCTTGGACGAAATAAAATAAAAAAAATTAGCCAGGATTTTTTGGTGACGAAATTAGAAAATTTTATTGCCGCAAGATTTAAAACATGAGCACAGTGACGGGAACTTAAAGTTTGTCACTATAAACATATAGTTGTAGCATTTTGAGCTGCTATTAACTAAAAAGTCTTTTCATTAAGAGAATATTTCAGTGATTAAGATTTAATATTTTCACTACAAAGTTTTATATTCAAATTCTCAAAGAATAACATTGTTGGGTTATTCTCATCCATTGTGGAAAGATTAGAATGTTTGATTATAAATGTGAGAAAAAACTTCGCTCTTTAAACATTTTCGAAGTTAAAAAGATCCAATAACCAATGTTGGTATCATAATCTAAGTTAAACAATTCTAACTATGGTGGCGCTACACAAATTGATTAGAAATAATCAACTTAGAGGCTGACGTGTGAAAAGAGAGTTTAATGGGTTATTTCATTTTTCTTATGAAAAGAGCAGAGTGTTTGGTTATAAGTGTGAGAGAAAATTTCACTGATTGAACTAGTTTTTAAAATTGAAAAAGTCCAATAGCATCCAACAAAAACAAAGATTAGGGTTTGAGAAAAACAATCCTATAATATTGTGGAGGTAAAGACCAATTAGGCTTCTTATATTAACAAAGAAAACAAACGAACATCCTCATCACCATTGTTAGAGAACATGGAATTAACAAAAATTATTATGCAGAGAAGTAGTATAAGTGCAGAAGCAAGCACTTGTATGATACTAATGTTTCTAATGAGTCATAGCTCAATTAGTTTTGTATTTTTCTCATCCATAAGAGTTCTCCAGTTTAGACCTCTCTTTTATAACGGAAAAAAAAAAAAAAAAAGACAATCATTCTTATTATCATTGTTGTTTTTGTCTTTGTTATTACTATATTTTCTTCTCTCTCTCTCTATATATAAAAGATTCTTTTTTTCTTTTTCTTTTTGACAACAAACAAGAGAGAAACCTTGTTAATTTGGGTATAACTATTGATGTCTATTTGTATCACAGAAAATGACAATAGAAAATTTTATTGATATATAATTGGGTATAATTCATTTCAAAATCAATGGATTGGATTTCATCACAAACATGATTAATATCATATTAACCATATATAATTTAAGGGGAACCAAATCTGATTTTAATAATTAAAATGTGGGATGTAAATTGGATCTGGAAAATAGAACTTCAACCAGATGGTTTTTTTTTTTCTAAATAAAAAAAGTGACTCAGATATCCTGGGGCTACATTTCGCATATCCTAAGATTAATTAAGTCTCATTCCAATATTTCCAAATAGTCTCTCCTATTATGATTGTCCATAATTCGCAATTAATATACAATCATGATCTCTAATTACCCTTTTGCCAAAGCCGAAAGTATTAATATAGCCAATATATGAAGCATAAGTAAGCTGTTAATAATTCCCTAATCAATTATGATCACCCTAGCTTTTGAGAGAGGTGATTAACTCTTGTTCTTATTCCAAAAAAAAAAAAAAAAATCCAGCAGAATCCTTAATTACTTATCACAAAGAAGGTGGAGAAATATTCATAGAGAGTGACAAATGGAAATAGCTTACATCAAGTCAAGTAAACAAGAACACACTAAACAGTTGGTGACAAATACATTAATATTGTAGAAACATAGATTCATATCCTTAATTAAAACACATCAAGGATTCTTAATTTACTTCATCATAGAGCATGGAGTTTCATGAAGGTGGTCTTGAAAACTCCAAACGGCCATGATCAGTTCTTCAGTAGTGCAGACCTTGACATTAGATGCTTCTCATTCCCCTGTGCAAATGATCAAGTTCAAGAATAAGCAACCTCTAGTGAATAATAAGAGCAGCTTATTTATCAAGTTCTTAACTGATCTCCATGATATATGCTCATATATTTTTTTATAGATTGTATTGATATTTGTGTTGATTGACAATTTGGGAATTCATAATAGCATAATAAATAGTACGATATAGGGTTAAATTGCACTAAGTAATGAGAAAGGTGGACTTGAAGTAGAGTTGCAAATAAACCAAAGAAATCAACAAAAAGCATCAACCTCAGCAGTACAAAATAACATATATACATTTTGGCTAGACTGATTTTATGTAGAATATTTCATGAGTCAATTTAGTTATCTATAACTGGATCAATAAACGAAATTTTCATGCATAAACACGACATTATTTTGCCTTTTTTTTCCAGGAAAAAAAAAACTATTTAACAAATAAACAAAGCAAACTCATGAAGAAGTCTTCCTTTCTTTCCATATTGTTTCAAACTGCTTCTAAATCACTTTCTGAATCAGGCAAGTCTGAAGATATATGGGAGAGTATGATAGAGGGAAACAACAAAAAAAATTTCCACAAATTTATAAAGAAAAAGGAAAAAAAAGACAAATTAAGAACGTAATTACATTTATTCTAGGATAAGTGATCAAGTACTTACATCATCCCGCTTAGTTTGGTTGTTGGTCTCCAACATCAATCCAAAATGAATATGAGGGAAGTGTGCCCACTGGTCAAACAAATTTGCATGCGAGCAATACCCAAAAAAAAAAAAGGTTAAAAAAATATAATATAAAGTATTTTTGAAATTTAGCTAAAGCTTTAGGATCAGCTTTGCGATGATGTTTTTATCCACTTACATTTTTGGCAGCAGTGCTGAAAGCTTCTCTGTGACTGATATCAGGATTATTGGCCTTGATCCTCTGAATCTCCTCTCTACAAAAGGACATTTTTTTGAAGAATAAATGTACATAAAATAAGAACATCGAATGAAGTGTGTCACCACACGAAAGATAAGGAAAATTCAAGAGGGACTGAAGTTACTTTATGAACTGATTATATGCAGAAGGTACTCGCTGCCTCTTCTCGGGAGCTGAAAATGGAAAATAACAGCACATGACTTGTGTACTTACATGGGCAATAAAAAAAAATAATAATAACCTGTAGGGCTACATTTAGCAAGTAAAAAAATGGTAGCAAGAGAATATGAAAATGAACATAAATTAATCAAAAATCGAAGAACAGTGGAAATCGCAATCTTACGGCGATTAACAACCCTGTCTTGGGTGACAATGTTGGTAGCTGGGGTTCTCATTGAGATCTTGCTGTTGCCTTTGGAAGAGGAACCCAGGTCAATTCTGTAATCGTGGGAGCTGTTGTTTGGTGACTGCTCACAAAACAAAGAAAAGAAAAGAAAAATATATTACTATTTAGAGTACTTAATTAACTAGTAAAGGTAATTAACCCATCAATCAAATAATTAAAAAAAAAAAGTTGGTTTTTGAAATCGGGAAATGGTTTTTTGAACAGAGTTGAAGTGACGTCTGTCTTAGAGAGAGAGAAAGAACAGAACTAGAATTGAAGTGACTGAATCAGTTAGAATTGTCTATTTATTTTTGTTGTACATGAACAATAAAGCAAATAAAACCCAAATTGACAGACCTTGGAAAAAGGGCTGAACCAGGCCAACTAGCTAGCAAGATACCAATAGGACAGAACTCTTAAAAAAGAAAAGAAAAGAAGAAATCATTGAACTCAAGAACCCTAACAACTAATGTCTAATCAAATCAAAGTTAGCACAGAAATTTTTTAAAAAGAGCGCTCAAGAAAGTAAGAAAAGAAAAAACCCTAGTGATCTCTCGACTCTAACGCAACTGTTGTGGCCGCAAAAATCAGCTATTGTAGCCACCAAAAGCAAGAAAAATAGGTTAGGTTATGGCGGCTGCTAGGTAATATCTGCAGTACTAAAAAAAAAAAATAGTAAATCAGAAATAATGCTTTGAAAGACTCCATCGATCTCTGTTAAAACTCAGATCCTGAGGGCTGTTTTGATTCCCTAAAAAGGAGCAAAAAGACCAGAAACCCTAGATTTTACGGGCTATCTAGCTAGTAGCAACCCCCCTAAAAATAAGCAAAAACAATGTAGGTATTATTTATATATCACCTGAATATGATCTTGCCATGACAGTGACTGAAAGGCAGCTGCCATATTCACGGACCATAGATTGGTGCAGTGCCCGCATCGGACGGTCACGATGTCAGACAAGCTGCTGCATGGAACACTCACCTGCAACACAACACCATTATTACTGATCTCCATAGAATGTTTTTCTTTTTCTTTTTTCTTTTTTTTTTGGTAGAAATCTCCATAGAATGATATAGTTACTATAATAAATCTCATACTTCCGCTTGGTAGATATTGATTATTGACAACTTGACATCAAATAAAGATAAAAAAATTTACTAGAATTAATTAAAGGTACAATGAAAACAATAAGAAATTGGTTGAAATAAGGGGATTTCTTCAATTTTCTCTTGATCCAAGCTATAAATATGGAGAGAGAGAGAGAGAGAGATCAAAGCAAACAAGTTTTGGGTTTAATTCTTCTTTTGCATAAAATTAAGGTTTCAAAATTTTCTTGTAAGAAAAAAAGAGGGGGGGGTGGGGGGGGGGGGGGTGGGGGGAGAGATAGGGAAAAAAAGCACTAGAAGCAGAAGTGTAAGTGGGGCTTCTTCATCTTCTTGAGTTGGGTGGTGTTCCAAAGAAAACAGAGTGGCTATTATATTTCTGAGATCTTCATTTTCTTGCTTCCCTGGCCATTACAAAATAAGGTTTGGGATTGTGCAGCACTTTTTTGGTGCAGTAATTTTAGTAAAGGAAAGGTTATTAGCCATAGAGGTAGGAGAAGGAGGGAGAGAGAGAGAAAATCAATTGGCGAAGGAGTTGTCTTCATCAGGTTCATCAGCAAATGGCTTGTTTTGACGTTAGATAAAACATTTATTCACGAAAATAACACAAAATATGGCCAATTATCTCTCTCTCTCACTCTCTCTTTGGTCTGTAGCAGCACTATAGGACCTTTAGGTATGACTCTTCTTTGACTGCAAAAGAAGAAGAAAAAGAAAAGTCCAACGATGGAGACCTGACTGTAGCAAAATCAAAAAACCCCAGAACGAAAAATCAATAGATTTCGGTTAAAAAATTAGCACGAGAGCAAGCCTGGTCAGTCAGACCAGCTTTTATCATGATCTAAAATATTTCTTTCTTAGCTATACAAAGAAAACAGAACAAAACAAAACAACATAAATATATATATAGATAAGTACTGGCCTAAATCAGAACTGAAAAAAGAAGTAGATCCCGTTAAAGAAGAAATCATGCAGAGATATATACCGCAAGAACTATATTGCAAAAATTGCAAGGGATGTAGCAGAGTTGCTCATGAGCCACCGTATCGATGCAGCTTGACATGATGTTTTTCAAAGAAATTAATAATCAAAAGTTTACAAGGTACTGTTTAGGTCAAGAAGAAGAAGAAGCAGGAGAAGGAGGAGGAACGCACCAAACAAGAAGAAGCAAAAAGAAGATATATATAAAAAGAGAAGAAGCTAACTAGCTACAGCTCTTGCAAATTGCAAAGAAACACAAAGCAAAAGGCTTTTATGATTCTCTCTTACAACTTCTTTGCTTTGGTACTGGGTTATTGTATCACAGCAGTAAAACTATATGGCCCATATATATAGAAAGTCATGGAAGAGAGAGAGAGAGATGCATAGAGATGTAAGTAAGTATATAGAGTGAAGGAGGTTAGAGCTAATAAAATTGAGGGCAAAAAAGGGTGAGTATTTTTAGTGGTGCTCAAATGAGGCAAAAAAATGCTAGGACCTTGAAAGGGATACAAGGAAAGAAATGTAAAATATTTGCCAAGGTGAAAATAAAAGCAAGTTAATTAGGGTTTTTGGGTTGGGAAGAGGATGGCTTTTGGCAGCATTACCATACCTTCTATCTATATTAATAACTCTGTAGCTATCATGATCAAGTGAATGTGACCGTAGCCTCTTCAATTCAGCTATACCACGGCGGACGAGGGGGCGAAATTTGGGTTTCAATTTTTTTTTTCGTTTTTCAGAAAAATCTATGCGTGTGTTTGCTATCTTGTCTATATATTCACTAGATTATAGCTGACATTGTCATCAATGTGTTGGGACATTTTACTTTTTTGTTTAGTATTGCAGCAGTGAAAGAAGAGGAGGTCAAAAGGATTCATCTTTTTCATCTTCTCACCAAAGGTAATATTTGAATGGGTTGACATTTCATTTTAAATTGTTGGGATTGATTTGATGGTTAATGAAGTGTGCTCCTTTTTATGATTTAAATCTCAGATGTAAAAAGTAAATTTTTTATGATTCTTTAATATAATTGAGGATAGCATATGTTTAATTGGCAAAAAAAATGGTATTGTCGCTAGTGGAAATTGATTCAGAAAAAAATTATTGAAAAAAGGAGAGACATTTAAACTGAATAACCTTTGTACAGTTTGACACAGAGAGGAAGTGAATAAAAGGGGTGCATTGTTAACTCTTGTTTCTTTTCTTTTTTTAGGTATTCCTATCTCACGTTAACGTAACGGAAGCAACAAGGTTTAAATTAGAGATAAATGAGAATAATAAGATTTAAAATTAGAGATATGACTAATCTTATTTGAAATAAAAGTGATAAATTTTAATTTCTTCTAATAAATTTAACTCTAGAATTCGAATCCTGTATATTGGAGGTAAAATTCATCTAGAAATCAACTTGTTTACAACTGACCAACAAGTTTTTAATAGTGCATTATTAACTTTTTTCCAAAATAAGTTTACTTTTAGCCTCTTAATAATGCAGGCCAATGCTAAATTTTCATGTCAACTCAATTTAATTTGTGCTTAGTATGAGGTCAACAGTTTAAAGATTAAATTTTAAGAAAATTATGACTAAAAATTTGCAACATTTAAGGATTTTGTAACAACTTTTTCTACAAGGAAGAGATATATGGATAAAGCATTAAGAAACAAAATTAGTTAACTTGGTGGACAAACTACCGATAGCTAATTTGTCCAAAGTCCCATTTAATTATCTAGACCCATAGAATAAATAATAAGAATGTAATAGTTGTTAATTAAGGTTATAAGTGTCAAAAACTCTTCCATCAATATTGTACTTATAAAGAAACGGTAAATCTTGAAAACAGAGGAGAAAAACTATATCCAAAAGAATCGAACTATATTATGGATAATGGTTAGAGATAATATAAATTTGTTATCGAAGTCTCACACAATTAATTAAATTTTTAAATTTAAATAATTATGTGACATGGTATAAAAAATTTAATGATGAAATAGTTACGAGTTCAAATCATTATAATTATTTGTAAGTGTTTTCATTCTAATTTTTTGATATTAATAACAACCCTTGAAAATAATAACAATAATAATAATTATTATTATTATTATTTTGATGAATAGGTTCAAACTGTATGAAGATAAATATGGTGAACATCAAAAACCACACATGACATCATCGTACTGGGTAGAGGTTGATTATTGATTCTTCAATCAAAGTACTGTTAATTAGGTTAACATTTTTATGAATATAAATTGGAGCATGATGAGGCAAGAGAATACGTGCCATCGGTAAAAGCACATGTGTACTATGTTTTTGCTATTCATATCCTTAATTTGGGTATATAGCTTCCAACCAAACCTAATTAATTCGGTTTTGATGGCCGACTCGTTCATTTTCCAATTAGACTGATTGGCCTGGTTGGATTTTTGATAAATAAATATAAAAAAAACACCCAGCCGATACTAATAAAAACACTTTATAAATACAATTAATTATTAGCAATATAAATTTATGCAATAGACTTTTGATATGATATCAAATCATGAGTTTAAATCTCATCACTCTTATTTTATAATATAAATAATATTATGAGATCTCAATTAATAGTTAAAATTTTTTAATTGAGATAATCCTTTAATATAGTAAGCACAAAATTAAAACTAATTAAAGCACTAAAAACAATTCATTAATTATTTACATTTTAGAATTTCTCTTCCATTCGAAAAAATTGACAATCAAAATTTGTATACATGAATATATTATAAAAAAAAAAACCTAAAAGAAGTGAGGGTATAACTATTCATTCATTGTAGCTACACACTCAAAGTTCCTATTTATGCATGTTTTTTTTCATCTTGGTCCCTCATTCTTTGAGAGATAAATTAATAAGTCCCTTTGGTTTGAAAACTAATTTTTTTTTATCCTTTTCACCATTTTACTATTTTTATTTTTTCTTTCACCATTTTAATATTTTTATTTTTTCTTTTAAGAAATAGAAAAAAAAATTCTTTGGGGAATAAATTAATTAGTCCATTTGGTTTGAAAACTATTTTTTTTTGTCATTTTGGCCATTTCCATTTACTTGTAGCACCCCCTCTCTTTTTTTAACGCCGTCTATTCTTCCGGATCCAATGATATATACTAACTTTTTCACTCATACATCGTTCTTCATTCTACAATGAATATACTCGCAACCTTCATTGCCTTGGAGGTAATATAATTTGTTGATTAATTTATCCTCTTTCTCAACTATTAAAGTATTTGTAGGACTATTATTATAGTTAATAATTATAATATATTATCGGTATATTTTACAAAAAAATAGTAGTGTTTTTTTGTTTTGTTTTTATTTTTCAACGTCCGGCCTCTTTTTTTTCATTTTCTATATTTGTCGGACTATTATTATATGGTCAAATATATTATTTAGGTCCTTATTTATTAGAAATATTTTTTTTCAAATAATAAAATTATTTATAATTAATTATTATAATAAATTATCATTATATTCTACAAATAATATCAAATAAATATTATAAGATAGTTATTTATATTTTAATTGAATATTGTATTTATGCGAGTGCTTCTTCTTTTTTTAACGTTTGGCCTCTTTTTTTTTATTTCTATATTTGTAGGACTATTATTATATGGTCAAATATATTATTTAGGTCCTTATTTATTAGAAATATATTTTGTTTAAATAATAAAATTATTTATAGTTATTAATTATAATATGTTATCATTACATTGTACAAAAAATATCAAATTGTTATTATAAAATAGTTATTTGTATTTACTAGACAATATAATACTTTTTTATTATTTTATATCATGATATAAATAATATATTGATATATTATTTTACAAATTTGAATATATATAAAATTGATAAGTATTTTAGTAATATAATATATTTGATAATTATACCATATAATTAA